ATCACTAGGTGGAGGCATTGCACAGTGCAACCCCAGTGAGGGTCTCTGCTTGGGGGTTTTGGGATCCCCCCCACCAACAACTATGGCAGATGTTACTGCTTCCTCCCCCTGGGATCCCTGATCTTTTCCCCTCTTCAGTTGTCTGCTCACTTGGATGTGATCCTTTCCTCAGTAACAAGCCAGTTCATCTCCTAATTTAGGTACCCAACTAATTTTATGGCCCAGCCCTCCAAAAATGTCAAACATGCCAAAGTTAGCAGTATTTTAAAAGTGACAGCAGACAGTGCTGGCACATCCTTGGCTCTCTTAAATACATGTACCAAACCATTCAGAGCTAAGCTGAGGAGACATATTTTTATGAAAAACTTGGCTTTTCTTGTAGAAGTCAGCATGTGGTCTATTCTCTTCAGTCTCTTGAGGAGAATCAAGTCCCATTTACTCTAAAAATACAGGAATTGGAGCCAGATATCAAGCAGAACCAGATGTCACGACCCAGAAGAGAGCGTTCACAGATGGTAGGGGGACATATGGCACACAAGTTCTTTCCCACTGTGAGTGTCCCTGTCAAGACAGCTCTTTAGCTTTTTCACTATTTGTTCCTGTAGGCAATATGTAATGGAGTTAACTGCCAATTTTTTTTTTTTTCCTGTTTTAAAGGGACAGATGAATCTTATTTTTTGCAATTCCCAAAAACTCTGCTTTTTTTGTCACTTCAGAAGTGGGGGAATTTACAGCCTACCTCCTTTACTGGTCTGTAACTTCATCACAACGATGCATTTGTCCTGTCACTTCTGCAATGCTCCCTTTGAAACGAGGTGGCTGTGGCACACCTTCCCCAGGAAGTACAGTCCTAGGTGATACACTGACTGTGCTTGCCAAGGAGTGAGAGGTAGGATAAGAGTAGGTAGCTGGAGTTTCTTTCTAAATCCAACTGCTCGTCCAAGTCATTCATTTCCATGGCACAGAACAGTTAGCTGTGTGTATTTGAAAAAAAAGAAAACAAACAGCATGGGAATAGGAAACAATGTGCTCAAAGAAAGAAAATAAAATACCTCCTTAAGGACTTGAATGTGACCTAATGACTTAAGGACTTCCCATGTTCCAGGCAATTTGTATCTATTCACAATATATAAACTGAGCAAGAAAGTCCAAAAGATCAAAATTGGCATTAGAAGTTGGAGGAGAGATGAGGCAGCACTGGGGTGTGTTTACCATGGAAAAGGAAGCACTCCCCTGATACATGTTGATGGTGAAATAAGGGAAAAGGAGAACAACG